TAGATTGGTTCAAGAGTATTTAAGGGTTTTGCATTTAACTACATGCTAATAATGTAGTGCGATCAATAATGGTGAACGGTTGAGATTAAAACTTAAAACCTTAAATGGACCGTGATAAGGACCTTTTGTACATTTATTATTTGTAGGGCTTTTAATGTAATGTTAATCGAGTTTGCCAGAGCCACTTCCCGTCTCCCGCCCGCGACGAGCACGGTTCTTCTTCCCTACGCGTCCTTCTTCCGCCGCCACCGTCGCCCCCCCATCTTTCTCGCTCGATCCTAGTGATTCGATCTTTCGCCTCGCTCTCTCGCCCTCCGTCTCTTCACTCAATGATGGAGTATAGAAGAATCACAGATCGGCTAACCACCGCATGATTCTCTTATCGAATTTAGTACGCTAAATCTGATTGACACCCTGCGATAAGGGTTTTTGAGGCCCTCTGCTCTCCGATTCCGGAAGTCCCCCTGGAGAGCTTCTTGACTGTAAGAATGTATTCACCCTTTGCCTCTGTTTTGTTGGATTGCTTCTGTTTGCCCTTTTCTGGAAGTTCTTTACATTAATCCTTACGCTTTAACTGGAGCCATAATTAATGTTCCACATTTATTTGTAGGAAAGCAAAATGTTAGTTTGGTCTGTGTTGGTTCGCTCGTTGTTGCTTCGTGTGGCCTCTCATTAGCGAAATCTTGATCCAACCTTTTTACATATGTTCAAAATTCTGTATTCTTCGAATGTTTGGTCTTCTCTTTGGTGAAACTAACTTCGGCATCTTGAAATTTGCGTGTGAGTATATTTAATTCATTATTTCTTTTTCTCTTGAATATATTTTGAGAGATTCAAGCATGATAGAGAATATATTAACGTTTAATTATCATTCGATACTTAAGTGTCATATGGAAGCTACCATGTTCAAGTCATCCTCTATCTATTTGGCCTATGGACAACAGTCCAAGGTAGGTAGTTCGGGGCTGTCTCCTCTCCATCACCCATATGGACAAAACGTCAAAAGGGGGGATATTAGGACAATTATAGCTTGTCCTCTCTGAAACCAGGTATAAAAGTTAACTCTCGATGTTATGTCAATTGGCTCTCTTTTTAAGAAATACCCTTAATTAACTTGATTGTCAGAAGGATCAGGTCGAGAGATTTTTCCTGACATTGGTCTTGGTGTAGGTATCACCTCGGATCTACCTAGGGGCCACCTCGATCACTACTTCGGATGCTCCTGTGCTTTCGGGTTTAGATCACATCGGATTGAGTCGGATATCGGGGATGATATTCCCTAACATGTGATAATGATCTCTCTCAATGAACGTGTAGCAATGTTTACAGGTAGCTGCTGGACATTCTCAAGGATTGCCGCAAAATAGGGCACAAACCAGTTGATGACTGGGAACCTGACATTACTATCTGAATAGGAATAGATTTCACCTATAAAAGAAAAGATGGGTTAGAGAAACATATGCGAGGAGAAGAGGGTATGTAATGGCTGATAGCTTCCGACGGTGGACTGCACAAAAAAGAAGGCACTTGTGAGGAGAAGACGGTATATAAACACTCACATCATGAACTTAACCTTTTCCTAGAAATTTGATATTAGCTATTACATGTTACATCTAGTGGGCTTTTGGCACCCTTATTTACCTTTTGTCATAGATAATGCAGTTTACCTCCATGATTGCTTTTTCTTCCTTGATATTTTGCTTAAAGGATTCGAAGACTAAACCTGACAACAACTGAGTGCATACTACCTCATTGCATCCATGAACAAAGAAGAATCTTACTCAGCATCGTTTCTACCTTTTCTATATCATACATGCAGTTTTCTTTTGTTTCTGCATTTTAGATCGAGAAAAATGTTTGGAGAGCTGTGTTATTTAACCATTCCTAACATCGACGTCAGGTTGATCTTGAGGTGGTCACCAACTTATAATCGTTGCCATTGAAGGGAGAGATTTCCAGTTGTACAGTGGATGGTGTCTAGGTTTATTGTGAATGCATTTAGGTTGTTCTTTTGAGGTTGTAATGACGAGCCTTGATGGACCTTGTTGTAGTGAACTGGGGTATGGAATGGCAGCAGTATGCTGTGGCTTATCCAAAGGCCAGGATTACATCATCGTGATGAGCTGCTTCTGGGCGCCCTAGGATATAAAGATGAAGAAGAACACTGGTAAACACGAAGGGACTCTGTGGAATCAACCGATGGCTTCTTATATGATGACTGAGGGATTTCCTTTAATTCATTTCCATAATCTTCTTTCATCTTATTTGCTCTTTGTAGGGAATCAAAACAAGAATTGAAGGGAGCCTAATGGTGGAGTTGGTATGTTCCCTTGGCGCAGCTCGAGATCCAACCCTTAATCACTTGGGTTAAACTCGGATGCTCTGATCATCCAGGTATTTGACTGAGTAATACTGCAGCGAATTTAACTGCTACTTCTTCTCTAACTACGGATATCTGCATGAATTTAGATTCTAAGACGTTGCAATATACATTTGCTACAAATTAAATATCTAATCGTGTTCCATATCGGCCAATCGCAACACCTTCACGATTTTGTTTAGGTCAGAATGGTATATGTGCATGATAAATGCCATTAGTGACGATGACTCACATGTCAATTGGCATATTCTCCTCCATCGAGAGATGTCAATTGTGAGCAGCAACTGCTGGGAAGCCATGTGTACCATTTATCTATCACAGACTTCTGCCTGCCAACAATAAACTTTGTTGGGCAGGACAAGGAAATCCATTAAGAGCACCGAGTTGCTGGTGACGATGGATTTAGGTGTGCCTGTTGCTGCCTGCGTCATGGGATACGGTTGGCTTGTCAAATGCATCATGAATGTTGCTGCGTGTTTTCCATGACTGAACCAGGCATCTGCTGAATTCTTTATAGATGAGATCAGAAAAGAGAGAGGATACCTACAAGTTGACCGTCCTACTGTTGCACCACAAAGTGCACAAGGTGGGTAAAGGGGTAGAGATATGGGAATCGTGTTGGGCCACAGGGTTAGGATGCTCATGTCACTTCCAGTGGAGTGGCGTTGCACACGTATTAAACTCTCAATTTTTTCATGGATGAATCTGATACATTATTTTCAGATTAATATTTTTGGTATATAAAATTACAATTCACATAAAATTAGCCTGATCAATTTACATGTTGGTCTGACATAAATAATTAATTTATCATTATAGATCATCAATAATAATTATATCAATAAGACTATATAGCATCTTCAAAATATGTCAGATTAAATTTTGATTTCGCTAACTCTGGATAGTAGGTTTAATACATTAACCATCAAATAATATTTTAGATATATATATTTTTTAAAAATAAATTAGAAAAGATTTAATTATATTCTTTATTGTGTGAACGTACCAAATAATTCTCATTCCATCTAGTATATGGTGTTTATTGGTTTCTTTTTTGAACCTCAAAATATTCACATGAATTGATGAGCTAATTACATGTTACCTCTTGTATTTGGACCCTCTTAGTATCATGGTCTGTGTACTTAAAAATTATGATATGTGGAACAAATAGTCTTATTTGTCTTAATACTATCAACAATATTGAGAAAAAATATAATACATATCACCACGTGTTAGATCGATTCTAAAACGACGGGGGAAAAGGTAATTTCAATATTTCTTTCATTTTCAATAGCAAGCAACTTGGTGAGTGTGTTGTCGATCATGGAGAAGAGCTGGATGAAGTTGGAGACTATATAGTTGAAGATGACCTCGATGAAGGAGGTGACGACGAGGCCAACGAAAGCAAAGGCTCTCATGAATAGGGAGGGCCTAGTTGCCCTACAACTTGGTTTGCCTCTCGTTGTGTCATTGGGATGCTTAAAGGCATGGTCATCATCCTGCCTGCATCATGGCGTAGTGAGAGCACAACCCCTCCTTGCAGTCTTGTAGGCCAACACACCTACCTGAGAGCCAAGCAGACTAGAGGAGGCTCAGCGCTTGCCGACAAAAGGGGGAGAGCTTCTATAGCAATGTGATCTTATATATCGCCTTCCACAATAACACGAGCTGAGCCACCTAGAAAGAGGATGAAGACAATGAGCTCTAGTGGTGAGGTGGCGAGCCATAAGAGCGACATCGCATGAGGAGACAAGTGGAGGGAAGTCAGGAGGAGAAGGAAAATGACTTAGCCATCAATCTAAGTCTCGATGCCAAACCAACCGTAGAAGGCGAGTGCACGTAGGAGGACAACATGGGTGTTGCGAATGTTGAAGGTGGCATGGGTGAAGACCTTGGTGGGTGCCGGGCTGCATGACTGCGAGGAGCGACTCAAGGAGGATGACCTTGGTGGCGAGGAGGGTCTCAAGAAGGGGTCGCGCTCTCGTTACGCTAAGAGCCAAGTGGGATGACAATCATGCCCTAAGCATCTCGATGGTGATCGGTCTCGTTGCACCAGGAGCCAAGCGGGACAATGACCACATCTTAAGCATCTCAACGATGTAGCGAGAGGCGGATCAAGTGGCAGGGCAATTGGGCCTCCCCCTCTTCATAAGAGTTTTCGCCTTCGTCAACTTCTTTTTTACCTCCTCCATGAAGGTCATCTTCGGCTAAGTGGTTTCTAATCTTATCCAGCTCCTTTCCATGACCAACGATATACTCACAAAGCTGCTTGTCGTAAAAAATAAAAAGGAGATTGAAATTATCTTTATACCCGTTATTTCGTGTTGATCCAAAATGTGGTATCACGTGTTTGTGTTTTTCATAGTTGATGATGTTATGGCAAAAAAATTATTTATTTCACTTTCAGCATTATAAATTATAATAATTTTAATATAATTTTTTAAATATAAAAATTATGATACTATGTAAATATTAGGGATAATATGTAATGAGTCAGGTACACCGTATCAAGTTTGCTTAAAATACCCGAACTACCTATCCCAGTGATGTTCTCACCATGACTCTTCCATGGACCCCACGTAACATGTGAGAGAGCCAACCACTTCGACGAGATGGTCTTGGGGGATGGACTTCGGTGCGTGTATGATCGAGAATAAGAACTGCACATCGGGACGGCGCCGCACACTCGGACTCGTGTCTGACCGTTGAAGCTGTGTCGGCTTTTGTTCGAGGGACCAGGGGCAAGAGACGAAAGTGGAAAGGAAAAGGGAAGGGAAAGAGGCAAGGGGCGTGGCGTTCCTCGCTACGGTTCTTCGCCCTTTTTCCCTCGCTTCCTCGTGTGATTGCTCATTGCTTCGCTGCGAGGAAGCTTGGGAGTATTCCTGGAGTCTTTCCTCGGTGTCTTTGCCGCCTACAGTAGCAGAGAAGGTTTAATTTTGCGCCTGCTTCCCGCTTAGAATCGGGGCTCATAGGCGGATTTGCTGTTTTCTGGCGCGGAGATCGCAGTGCTTATTGAGAGTTCTTCGTTGTTCCTGATGTCGGTGGGCGGTAGCTTCCAACAGTGGGAGAAAGATGTGTTCTTTTCCGCCGCGGAGGAGGTCCAGGAATCGGCCGACGTGTACGTTGTTTCCTTTGTTTTACACGATTCGGCGGTGTAAATTCTTGGAAAATTCGGGCTTTAATTTCAGTTTTTTTTCCCGATCGGATTGGAATACTCTCTCTCTCTCTCTCTCTCTCTCGTGATTCTCAAATTTTCTGTTGAGTTTTGGAAATTAGGGAATGTTAGGATTTATTGGTTGGAAACAGAGAGTTCTTTTCTATGATTGCTTCCTTCTCCAAGAGTTATTCGCTTAAATTGGTCGATTCATGGGCCTCGTTTCAGGATGGAATCTATTTATAGAATGTGGACACGGAACGCCAGGGATGGATTTGATTTAGAAGCTTCGTATGAATTCCGTAGGGAGCTTCAAACTGCTCTAGGCACTGCGAAGTGGCAGGTTGGTTTCTTCCCCAGCTTTATAACATAATTTGTTATTTTTCACCTGTAGATCATTTTAAGTGTTGAGATCAGAAACTTAGCTTCAGTTCTTGTTGGGATGATTCTATTGTGAAAAAAATGGTTTTTGGGCTGTCATGCAGTTGGAGGAGTTTGAGAAGGCTGTCAAATTGAGTCATGGAGATAATTCGTCCTACGAGAATGCAATCACTAGGCACAGGCAATTTGTTTCTGCAATTGGAAACCAAATTTCACGTGTCGAGAAGGGATTGAATGATTCATTGATTGAAGAAGGGAAGCCACCGCTGTGCTGGGTCCAATTAGACAAGGAAGAACGAGATGACCTGGCAAATTTTCTCTCTGGGGTGTCACGAGATAGTCACGGAGCAAAAGATGTTGCTCATGGTAACCCTGATCTTATGAAGAGTTTTACGGGTACAGTTACAGTAAATAAGGATAAGAGATATGTTGTGGAAGTCGCAGCAAAAGAACCTTCTGAAGAGAAAGATGATTCATTGCTTGTTGCACCACAACAGCCTTATGGGCAAACAAGTGTATTGAGCTTACCAGATATTGGTGCTTGGAAAATTGTAATTGCTGATGAGGATACGGATAAAAGATCAGCTGAAGTTAGACCTGATATGCCAAATCATGAATATGGTCAAACTGGTTCTTTGAGGAGTGTTGAATCCACATCAAAGTTGCAATGGTTTAGGAACAATCTGTGGAAGGCCAAGAACGAGGAGCCTCACTTTTTGAGGCATGGATTGTCATATTACCTTGACTTGAAGGGAGTAACTCGGTTTGCTCAGGTATATTCTATCTTCATACATGCATTTTGTTTCTTTCGCACGAACACGAGCCTACAAACTTTGCAAATCCATATTCTTTACTTACTGTGGCACTTGGGAATCTGCTTTTGTGCTGTGGTGATCATATTAACCATGAAAACTCTGTTTTACCACGCATCCTTTTCTTCTAGTGGGAGTGAAAATGCAATTTCTGGTTATCTGTATTTGGTAACTTGGATGTTAATCGATAAATCTTTGAAGTGCAAGTTCCGTGTATTTGCTGTCTTGGTATTTAAAATGAATCCAAAGGTTGCTTTTTTGCTGGTTCAAAGCTTTTTCATTATGTTTAAATGAATAATTAAAAGCTTTTATTTTGTTTTCATCAGTTCTTTATTGAGAATTGTTGGTATCTCAAAAGGTTTATTTTGTCTTCCTATTTTGGTTTTGGACAATTCAGAAATCCAAGATTTATTGATTCTGTGGTTTTATTGTGTTTGATCAGGGAATTAATGGGTTGACTGGAAGAAGCAGAAATTGTCACAGTAATAGCGGCCAACGGTTAAAACGTTCACATTCTCAAACTTTTGTTGGAAAAGTTGGCAGATTCCAAAGGCCTACAGAAGGACCACAACACTGTATGCGTTTTATGCGCTCTGTATGGATGACTTTCTTGCTCTCGATGAGTATTGTATTAATTGGTAAGTTTGATCTCTGGATCGTGAGAACTGGATGTCTCTTTGTCAAAGTGAACTAATTAGTTTGTAAAAGAAATTACAGTGAACTGATATAAAAGTATAATGCACCACCCTGTTTTCACTTTACAAACTTTATCTCTAGGGAAGAAAATTCTTAACCAAAAATTACAATCTTTTGAATAAATATATAGCTATCAGATAATCATGCTTTATCTCTCAGACATAAGTAACCGCCAGCATTTTATGTCTTGTATCGTAATCTGCTTTGGTTATATGATTATATAAACATTTCTGAATATTAAACTTTTATCATCCGAGTTTGCCTTCATTTTTTACATGTGACATCACATCTTCCTAAAGATGGCTAGTTAAAACTTCTGTCTCAGACAACATAAAACTGTTTTAAGACTATCCGGACATGCAGAAACCTTGTAACCTTTGTTTACAGGAAGCTAACATTTTTCTCGTACTTTGCTTGCAGTACCATTTGTTCTCTACACTGCTTAAAGAGCTCCTCTTCTGTGCTTCTTGAGGGAGTTGGGAGGTAAGCTTTTAACTCCAGCGGATGAACTTCAGATGTTTCATTTAACTATTCATAATCAGCTAGTCATAGTTATCGTTTTGGCCAATATTTCGGCAAAGACCATATTCAGTATACCATCTGAGATGTATTTTCAGTTTTTGATAATATAATTCGGGTAGTTATCTCAAAAATTTGGCCCATAGATAAAGTTGCTGTCTAGGTCTTCAAATCTAGGTGTTCATTTTGTCTTTCTTCAGCATTTTTATCTCAACCGATATGCTATATTAGGTCTACATCACATTTTTGAATCACTAAAATAATCAATATTTGATCCTTGCATATAATAGTCAAAAGCTACATACTTTTGCTTCCGCTTTCCCTTTTTTAGCATGAATCATCGTAGATGCATATATTTATGCATATTTTACCTTACGTAATCGTGCTTCAATGTTTTTTTTAACAGATATCTTTCTGATGTTTGTTTCTTCTTTTTCTTTATGTAGCTTATCAAATCAGAGGAAATTAAAAACAAAATCACATGGTGCTTATCAACTGATGCTACGCGAGCCAAGGAAAATCTTGCAGGGAAGAATGTCCTCAGGATTTTCTTATCAAATAATGGAGCAGAAGTGCCAAGGTTGCTTGGCGAAAAAAGCTGCCAAGGCCACCATCTTCAGTGAGCAGTAGGCAATTTGCCATCAAGGATTTGGCTTATTGGATTGACTATTAATCAAATGTAACAACACGCTAAGTCAACTCCACCAGCATTATCTAATTCTAATGACATGCAAGAACACTGTGACTTGTGTGATCGTAAGCTGGAAAAACTGATGTTTGCTGTGGTTAGCAATTGTGTCTGATGTTTTCCATGCTGTGGGATTCCTGATACCTTTTACGGGAAATTGACTGAATCAGTGTCATCTGTCCATAAGATTTGAGTTTGAGTTGACTTGTTTCATTGGGTCTCACTTGTTCCTCTATTATCTAACATTTAAATTTATCCGAAATCGAATTAAAGAGCACTATAAAGACTCCAAGCGGTCAATAAAAGGGAAAAAAAAATCGAGTTGCCATCCCATAGGATCGAAAATCTACTGCATCAATTGTTTAGATGCTTCGAGTACCATAAGGAAGCTTCTACGGTACTACCGACTCCCAGTGGGAGAAGCAGTTGCTTGCCACCATCACATTGATGTTGTTGGGGAGGGTTTTGTGGGTAATCCAATCTTTCTTCTCTCCTGCATCTGCCACATCTGCCACATCTTTCTTCTCGGTCTCACGCAGAGTCGAACTCGAGTAGTTGCGACGGGAGAGCTGCTGTGGCTGAGAGAGAGAGTGAGAAAGAGAGAGAGAGAGAGAGAGAGAGGGGACATTTGTATGGATGTTAAGAGCGAGTCGCGGCTCCTCTCCTCTCCCAAATGGCGCTGTCGCCATCCTCAGCTGCCCTAATTAAAGACGAGGAAAGGAGATCACGCTGGCAAAACTAGGATTCTTTTGCTCCTCTTTCTCTTCCTGTTCTGCTAAGGAGAAGAATGGCGGTGCTTGCAATGGCTTCTGGGAGCCTCCGATTGAGTCCCGGTGTGAAGCTGGGAGGGCTCGGCTTGCCGTCTCTTTGGTGCTACTCGCTTGGTCGCTTCCGATCTGGGGTCGCCACCTCCTCAAAAACCAGGTTATTATGCTTCATTTTCCCTGGTAGTTCGATGATTAGATTGATTGGTTCTATTGTTTCTGATCCGGGGATCATTTCTGGTCATGTGATGGGATATTGAGCTGTTTGCTATGATTCTTTACTTTAATCTTTCTCTCTCTATTCTCCCCCCTTTCTCCATGCCTGATCACATTCTGATGCAAGATTGATCTTTTTGTTCTGGATGCTTTTCCATCTAGTGCAAAGATAGAGGCTAAGGTGTATCTCATTGTATATTAGATGTGCGGGTGTTTGCTTTCACCTCCGAAAGTAAAGACGCACAGCACATCGTAACAGTGGGTTGATCTGGGAAGTCTGTGTGGATCAAGAACTTTGAGACACATATAATATTAATGATGGTCTATTGTTCTATATTTCATGATAATCGAGAAGCCCTAACTATTGGTTTGGAGTACACGAATAGAGACAATGCAAGAAATGCCACATATGGGAAATGGCTAAACTTCTGAATCGAAAAGTTGTTCTTTGCATGTGTGATTATTTCCGCTGATCTTTAATTGTGGGATATTGTCAGATTACCATCTTATGTAGCCGTACGCACGCCTAGAGCTGCATACCCAACTGCTGTTGAGGTATTGAATGACCTGTTCAATGCATTTTTTTGGAAATGCATCCTTAATCGTCTTGAACTTTGCTGCACCAGGATGGATGTTCCAGTGAGACCAATAGAATTCCGACTCCCAAAGTTATAATAGATCAGGACTCAGATCCAGATGCAACTATTGTTGAGATAACCTTTGGTGATCGCCTTGGAACTCTTCTTGACACTGTATGTGGCAGTGCTAGATTCAAGTCTTTTTTCTGTTGTTGTGTGTTTGTGTATGATGGGGTGGGGACTGTCCTAAATTATAGTTGCTTTCTGAGTCTTCTGACGAGTTTGTATTTTTTTGTACTTGGAAGATGAATTCCCTCAAGAACTTAGGTCTACATGTTGTCAAGGCCAATGTATACTTGGATTCTTCTGGAAAGCACAACAGATTTGCAATAACTAACAGGTGAGTCTCTCTTATCTTATTATGTAAAGGTTTTGGAAGGAGTGACGGATATTCCTTATTAGAAGAATTTTCTGCTATTATCAAATTCGAAGAGTTTTCTTCACTGCTGCAGCTTCATGTATAAAGCTCAACTTTTGTTCCCACATATCGATGATTGATATAGATTTGCCTATGGCATTAGCTTTGGTATAACAGTAATTGCTTATTGCAGTTAATGGAATACTTTATAGGTACACCGGTCGTAAAATTGATGACCCAGAATTGCTAGAAACAATACGATTGACAATTATCAACAACATGCTCCAATATCACCCGGTAATTCTAATTATCCTATATAGAATTTTACAGATTTTTTTCCTGCCATGATATAGTTTGTGAAATATAATGAAAAGAACTTTGTAATTTAATATACTGTTATAGTATAACTGTAAACTGTGTTGCTATACTGTATGCTGCTGTTGATTCTTCGAATCACTGGCAGGAGTCTAGCAGCCAATTGGCTATGGGAGCAACTTTTGGAGTGGAGCCACCCGAGCAGAAGGTACTTAAGTGTGTCATTTTACATCTTTGAAGGGTTTATATAACATTTGAAACATCAAGAATGCCTCAAGTACTTTATGCAGAAGTGGCATTTCGTATATATGAACCAGGGAATATGAATTTCTTTCCTTTAACATTGCTTATTGTTTCTCAAGAACCAAGGTTCTGACCATTTCATGTTTCATTTTTTTACATCATGACAATCTTAAAAAAATTCTCTCTTTACGAACAGGAAATATTCTGATTAATGTTTGTCTGCAATTTTATATGCACTTTAAGTTGCTTAGGCAATTACGTATATAGTGACTCAACTACCTTCTTTCAATCTGAGTAATACCAAATCTTATGCCCAACACATGCATACATTTTCTGTCCGTCTCAATCAACTAAGAACTATGGTTTATCATTTTTAGTTGCTTCATAAAGAAGTGAAAGATGATTTATCTAGATGTATGTTGTGGATGATATATATGTCAAAAGCAAAGAAAATAAGGTTGCAATTGTTTGTTGGTTATTTCATCATCTATACTTCCTCTTTCATTTCTACATTCCAGGTTGATGTGGATATTGCAACACGTATCAATATTTATGGTGATGGACCTAACAGAAGGTATGTGGTTTCTTCCGAGACTTGAGTGTGCAGTTATTGAACCATGTGATCAGACATTTTGTAACAAAATTATCAGAAATGATCTAAAACATGTTGGAACAGTCTCACCCTTTTTTTTAATATTAGTCTACCTATGTCTAGACTGTATACTACTATACTAGCTATGTGCAAACTCACTCAAGAAATGTTGGAGTTCCATGGAGGAAACAATGTTCATGTAGACATGCACTATCAGTAAATGTTGTGACAACTATGAAGTAAACAATTGCACTACTGACCCATTTTGTGGACTTCTCTCTAGCTTACTTGTGGTGGAGACAGCAGACCGTCCAGGGTTGTTGGTTGATCTTGTTAAGATCATCACAGACATAAATATCACTGTCCAATCTGGAGAGTTTGACACTGAGGTATAATCCATTCATGTGGTCATGCTTTATATATATATATATATACATATACATTTGTTTCAAATTGAACTCCTGCTGCTTCCAGGGACTGTTGGCTAAAGCAAAGTTCCATGTCAGCTATAGGAATAAACCGATCGGCATGAGTTTGCAACAGGTACAGTTTTATCTTTTGATGGCATCGATATGTTCATGACTTGCCTTTTTGTCGATGAGTGACTACTCTATGGTTAATCTTCAATTAGTTTTTAATCATGTTTTCTATATCATTTTTCTTGCTTGTTTATGTCCTCGGATGTTGCTTAGGATCTTAAAAGCTGCATTAATGCTAATATGTCTCTGCAGGTTCTCTCTAATAGCTTGCGTTATTTCTTGAGGAGGCCGACAACAGAGGATGCGAGCTTTTAGTCACTTGCCAGGACTATTTCATGATGATATTCAATAAGAGTTTGGGGCTAAACTTTCCCATATCGATAAAGAACAATGGTATCAAATGATGTCTACGACATGGAACATTGCTAGCTAATCTGTCTGAGAAAAATGGTGACTGCACTCGATACAATTGGCAACGTTTTAATATCCCTTGGCTGCTTCCTTTCCCTCTTTGCATTCTTGCAGTAATTTCAGTGGAGAAGCGTCGATTTGCACAGTGCTTGCTCAAATGGGTAACATGTAACTTTAGTGAAAGGCTAACGTTGATGACATCAAGTATATAATGCACAAGACTTTATGAAAATTATATATATATATATATATATATATATATATATATATATATATATATATATATATATATATATATATATATGTGAGTAGTGGTCCTCAATCGTTGATATTTGCAATAGACCCCCGCAATTATCGATCCGATGACGCTGAACTCGGTGACTCCTTTCGCCTTGTGTCGCCTCGCCGTCGTCGCTCCTCCCCTGCTCTCGGCGCCTTCCCCACCATCGCTGATCAGCGTCTGCTCCGTCTCCAACGCCCTCAGGCGAAGGCGACCGGTTGGACTTTTCTCTATAGCACAGGCAAGTTTGCTGAAATCCATCATCGATCAAACTGGGACTTGGGCCAGCCTCTTGAAGGCCCTTATGGTCTAGATCGATTCCGCGAAAGCCGTCTTGTTTGAATGGGCTGGTTCGATTTGGAAGGATCCAAATTAGATGTGCCAACGAACGAGATGACGGATCGTCGGGGTGTTGCTAGGAACTCGCAGCACATCGCCTCCAAGTTGTTCGACTCTATTCCTCTGAAGGAACAACGCCTTGATATTCGCGCTTGCACTATTCGGGCTGGGAAGCTTCACAAAGCGGGTTGCACCGTACGGTAAGGCCAGGTAACATACTTAATTTTGATATCTAAACCACTAGTAAATTAGGTTTATCATTTCGGGTACTGAACCCATGATTTTTTACTGGTGTATCAGTATATATTGTCTATATCTTACCGATTCGAATGGTACAACAATTCAAGAAACTATGGCCAGATTACTTCTGTTCCCAATCTTGAATTGTTTACATCATGACAATAATCACATCATTACATTTGTGTTTTCTCCCCAAAAAAAATTACTAACTGGCACAGAGTAGTTCAAAGGCCTACCTTAGAGATTATTGTTTACAACTAATGATGAGATTTTGATTTTTTTTTCTTTTTTATAAAGGGTAAATGGTGAAGGCGGGATTGAAGTCTAGGATCTTACAATATACTATCAAAATCTTTACCAACTAAGTTAGCTGATACCTTCAAACAAATTAGGTCAGGTTCTAATAACTTGATTCTAGGGTTCCATAAAACTCTTTTCAAATGAGGAGAGAGATAATGACATTCTTGAAGGTGCGCTTTAGACCATCAAGTAAATTAGGCCAAACGGCATTCAAGAGGTGGATGTCCATGATTAGTTTAACTTTATTGACATGTGTTATAGACTAATCCCTGATTAAGACCAACAGGGTGACTGTGGAAATCGATCTTTAATGATCTCCAAAATCTGTGAATACACACCTACTATATATAAGTTTCCCACTGAGTTCTTCTTATGCATTATAATTGTTAGGAACAAGAAACACCGCATAATTTGACCAAAGTGTATGGTACGATACCTGTCATAATCTGATTACACATCACTGGCTGTAACTCTCTCATCATCTTTTTCTACGTTTTGTTTTCAACGCTTATCGAGAGACTTATGATGCGTTTTTGGATCTTTCATTGTCATTTGTCATTCATAGAGTAAATGAGCTTGTACTATGATCTGAATTTTCCAAATCCATGTCATCATCATGCGTGGATCTGTATTATTCAGCATCATTCTCTGCATACAGTTTCTCTCTTGCATTCATGTAAGTTTAACATGCTGATTGGGGCATAAGTGCACATTCCTTTATGAAGAGATCCGTTTTCCGTATTTAGTTGCCCATTTATACTTAAAGTGGACCTTTCGGGGCCATTCCACTTATACAACTAGAAATGCAATGCTTATGAGAGAGCATTTGGATTTCTATACCTTGTAGAAGGATCTGAATTCCCATTTCTTGCTCTGTTCTGTTTCATTTGTGGACCGTGAAACTGAGAATTGATTTCGGATGACTGGTTGATAGTGCAAATTCTGAGCATTACTAAATGGCTGTAACAAAATTAGGATGCATCAGCAGATCTTTCATACTTGTTTGAGTCCATATACATGTATTTTAATGTCAGAATAAATTTGTGAGGATCATTGACTGTCTATCTCATTATTGCCACCACCTACTGTAGTGATCGGACAACTGAAGTTGCTTTGCTTGACTGACATGCAGGAAACCCGTGGCCGCTGACTCTTAGTTTGTACTGATACAACAATATGCTCTTCGGAAGACCCTATGGGCACATGTATGTGGAAGGTTGGCCAATCCAATATTCCCCACTAGTATAAGATGGCAAAAGTGGGGGTAGGGAGGATATATAAAAAGAGCCCAACGAATGAAGTGCCTTTCCTCTTTTCTTCTGGTGGCCGTCCACGAATAATGCGCTTGGTGACTCCACAGGTTCCAAAGGTGATTGAATGGGGAAGGAAAGATGAGATGGGAAATGGGTGTTGTATATCTAAAGTTAGTTCGTGCATTATTTATATGTTATCTGTTTGACCATCCAATTCACGATGCTGCCAAGCCTACTTTTCTCGAGGCCTTCTTCTCACATGTGAGCAGGTCTACACCACCACAGCTTTTGTTTGCTCTTTTGCTAAGATTTTGCTGGTGGCACTACTGATTCATGTGAAAACTTTTGACATATGCAGTTCCGATCCCTTCTGAAATTGATGGGATTGCTCAGCAGCAGTAGCCAACAATACTATTACGGCACGGTTCTACATGGCCTGTCGACCTCAAGCTAGTCCGGATGAGCACGGAGGCCGCATGCAATGGGTGATACCACAACCTTTTCGCCTTTGGGCCACAAGACTTTTGTGCAGTACGTGGACCTGACTGATCGCAGCATCGAGATTGTTAGTTGTTAACTTCGCATTTAATCTGAGGATTGGAACACTTCGACGTGAACTCTGCTCATTCAAGATGATGCAATGGATAAGGTATGGACATGACCAGAGCTTCATACTGCTATATAATATGATTGTTCGTTTGTTTCGTAGGCAATGGCACAAACACTCTTTCTTAATGGGATTACTTGGGACTGCCGTGCACCTCGGTCGGGCGAGAAAGAGAAGAATGTATCAGTTACATGATTGGCCAAGCATCTTTTTCTCCATTGCCCCACCATCTTCACATTATTAGTGTATACTGTTCTCGTGGCCCTTTGTTAAGTCAAAGGTGGTGGGAAGAGATGAGTTCCGTCGTCGAGGTTCAGAAGATGGAGGTCAGATTCAGCTCGTACTATAGTCAGTAGTGTACGCCACTCATATGGGTGGAGTGCAGTGTCCATGCTTTCTGGTGGCTGATATCATTAGGATGTCTTCTTAGGGGGTGCACGCTCCATATTCTGCACCTTGTGTTGTTGGGCATTGGAATCACATTACTATTCTCTCTCTCTCTCTCAATGTCAGACACACACACATAAAAGACAGAGAGAGATCGACTGCAAAGGATTATGCTTCTTATTGATCAATGCCTAGTACCATTCAGGAAGAGGCAATGGTTCCTATATCTTAAGAGACAACCCCTCAAAGATCACATGTTCCCATAGCCTCCTTTTTTCTTTCTCCTCATGCTTTTCCTCAGTTTCCAAATATATGTGTTGATTAATTGTTTCGTTACTGAGCTTCTCTGTCTTCTTCTTCTTAAATTTATAGGTAAAATTTGAAGCAGAATTCCATGTTCCAAGTATTTTACTTGTCAAATTTCAAGAGTCTTTTAAGTTCTAAATTCCCTGCGCCATCAGTCAGTTCCATGGTGAGCATGAAAAGAATATTTCACTCTACATAGCATGTCATTGTTTTAGATGGTTCTTTTTATTAGAATCTGTGAGCTACATTGACTGCTTTTTTTGCAAGTTGCGTGCACATGCAATGATGCTTCAGACACACACTCGGAAGCTACAAGGCTTCTTGTATATGTTCCGTCTTCTAGTTGACCACATGTAATACCTTCACTTTGTGTCACCCAATCCCAATCTGATTGATGCTTTGTAAGATCTTCGACAATTGGGTTGCATGCCCAAAGTTTCCATGTCAGCTCATTATGTTGCAGTTGGCTTTTCAGAACCTTATTGCGAACAAGATTATATATAATGGAAATTTATGGATGTGATTGCAAACTTTTGCTTACGCTGAGCTTTAATTATCATGAAGACACAATGAATCTTTACACATTTTGCAGGAATGATGGCACAGAGTAACAGAAATATTAAAGCAGGTTGGAGTTGTCCTCATCCTCTACTGTGATGGTGATGGTGATGGTGATGGTTCGGAAAGAACACATCGACCCTGTATGCGCTGCAACAACACAACTATTTGCTCTATCCATCTCCATCGAACAGAAGCTGCCACCGTTCCTTCACTGGGGACCTCCCTATTCCTTTACAATGCACCTCCCTTTTGTCCCGCACATCGTCAGGGAATTGCTCGGCGAAACAAATGGGTGCTGCTATTTCCAAGTTCCACACCAAACATGAGAACACAAGTGTCGGTCCGCAACCTTGTGGGGCTGAAGTTGACTTTGACCCGTACATTTTTCTGACTTTGACTTGAGACCTTGGCGTCAAAGTGCTCAACCCGCTCCCCACCCCCCGCCCCTCTTCTCGTGCGAAGCCAAGACGAAGCACCAAGTGTACGTGCAGTTTGGCACGGGTCACTATGGCACATCAAATGGAGACCTCGGCAGCGATCTAAAGAGCGAGGATTGAGACCGACCTCAGCCTCTTTGTTTTATCTACCACTGTTGAATAGAATTCTAACGACAACATGGATTCCAATATGGAAAATTGGCATTGCAAGAACCATGCAATTGTCGAGGAAGAAAAGTATTAGCTTGGCATTTGTGAAGGCAGTCCCCGTCAAGGGTGGAAATTTCTTATGATGGCGGCAAAAATGTGGAAGATGAAACAATTGATAGGAAAAACTGACACTGACATCGTTGGAGTTTGATGTGGGGGAAGGGAAGGGATGAGATATG